CAACCTACTACCAAGACAGCACATCAACATCAACACATCCGGGAGAACGGTTTCAACATCAACCTCAATTCCTTGCGAGCGGGTCCAGCGGTCCCTCCGACTACGGCGAAATCAATACACCAAGGCCAATATACCGCAGACACGGTCCTTCACCTCAACTACAATTTCCTGTCAGCGGCTCGAGTGCTCTATACCCCCTCAGTAGCGCGACATCAGCTTATCAAGAAACACGCCCTCAAGCTCTACCATTTCTCACTGGCGGCTCTAGTGCTCGATACCTCCACCCTCGTGCCGATGCAATCAGTACTCCGACGCCAGGCTATCAAGAAGGATTTTCTGAAGCTCAAACGCAAATTCCCAGTTGGTCCAGTACTGTTGGTGGTTCGGACCACTGGACCCATCACGGCAGTCTCCAAAGTCGTGTATTTCCTCCGAGCTCGGTATTACCAACCCAACCCAACTATCCCTCCGATTATGCTCGATATTTTGCCAACTTTGGCTTTCCCCCATCGTACGAATGGGACCTGTAGCTTTTTAGGACGTCGCGGGTGGTCGACGGCGGAATTCAGCCTCTGCTGAATATGCAGGAGGGTTGTGCCGCTGTGGTAGAACCAGTTGATTTTGAATGCTTATATACAGTTGTATCTAGATTAGCTCTGTGTAGGCGTAGCAATATAATGATCATTTCGGATCTTTCACCATCTTGAAGGACTCAACTTCTGGCGAACAAAAAAATCGACGACATCGGAGTCGAAGTCCGGGTTGAGTCACGGTCCGGGTCTGGTGCACTAACTGGCGTAATGAATACTTAAAATCGGGTTCGGCTGCATTTTATGGAGTAAGAAGTAAATGTATAAGCTACAGTAGCGGCAACCCTGCATTCAAAACCCAGCGCGAGGTGGAACATTTTGAGGCACTGCCACCCGGGCCGCTCCGCGGTGCCGAAGAAACAAACACGGCCACCCCCATCAAACTCACGCTCTCCTTTGACTCCGACTCTCTCCTGGCCTCAAACTCCCGTGCAAGACCCTGCAAGATCTTGACATCTGTTTCGTCAAACCCATGGCCTTACCCTGTCAACTCCTTCCTGAAATCTGCGCTGCGGAATCCCGAAAAGTTGAAGCTGTGTGGACTCAAGTTGGAGCTGTGGTGGCGATACCATTGAATCTGACGCCGATATGGATGTTATCCTGAGTCTTGTGCTAAACTCGACCAGTAATTTAGAGGGTCACCTCATACGGTGGCGGATCCCCTCGGATTCACTGTCGTCACTATGGAATGCGCGGCGACGCTACTGACTGCAGTGCGATGTCACGCGCGGCAATACATCAGTTGCTCATATATTGAGAAAGCCTTCTGGAGGGGGTCGGTTCCGAATTACTCTTGAATTAATTTAACTCGCAGAACGGCAATTTATTGTGATGCGCCTGCATCCGAATATATTTTCCTCCGAATTCCAGCGCCCGCGCTGACTCGACCCGCATGGGGTCCGAGCTCCTGGCCAACATCCACGAGATCCTCCTGGAGCTGACCCGGACGTGTAGCTGCCGGATGACCTCCTTGCAGCTGCATTGAACTCACCCATAATTATCCTGTGTTGATGGTCCTATAGCGATTCGTCAGGAGGATGCATTGGGCGCAGCTCTCATTTCCTTCGGCGCCTCGCGACCCTGGCGGCAGTGCGCCCAAAATTTGCCGTCGTGGATCGCTGATGGATATAGGTATATGGCGGTGCAGGTTTCATTTTGCGCCACAACGATTCCGCGGCAAAATAACTCTTAATCGACCTTCGATCTGCGGGCGAAACGTGCGTGAACTACGCGCTTTTCTGATGAATTCATCAACCTTGCACAGGGCCTGGAGCTGATTTGCCCACGAAGAGGCGGGATTCAGGATATTCGTGCTGCGCATCGACTTGCAGAGTAAACCGCCCTGCACAAAGTTCGGTGCTAAGGAGTCTTCTCAGTTATCTCGCGGCTTGGCGTTGACATTTCCATCGCCGTAAATGTGCCATGGGGGAAAGGCACGGAGTATTTAAAGCCAACCGATAAGGCGTAGGTGTATCGTCGCCTTGTACCCATGTATGCCGTTCAATTGTGCTCTCTTCGACTGGAAGACATTCACAGACGCTACAGCCATAATGACTCATATCTTCCCGCCATAGGATTTCCCGATCATCGATCAGGCCATTCATCAATTCCGGCGGCGGGGGACTCCGTGACTCAACAGCGCTGAACAGTGACTACGAGCTCGGACCTCAACAGAGATTCGGTCTCCGCCTGCCGTTTTCTGAAATGACTCGGCGGCGGTGGTTGCGCGTCTGGGTACTTCGAGCCTGACTCGCTGGTTGAATCCGTGATTGAATCAAACTCGGCAGTAATGCGCCGAAAGCGCTGGAGGCAATCCCTGGAGCAATCCGGTCGTGCCACACAGTCCGAACCGGTGGTACCCTCTTTTACAGCCATTTGACTCGACTCATATTCTACCACAGGATGTCATTTGGTCTCCAGTGAAACGATTACAATCGAGTTACGACAGAAATTCTGCGACGGTCCGGGAGTCAGTGCCAATTCAATTCCTCAGGTTTATAGATATACTGCGGGATCTCCACAGCTTTCGGCTCCGTGTCAAGGCGCTGGCAGTTCAAGTCCAAGAATGCGGGAAGAGAATACAGCGCAGCAGGGCAACTTCAAAAACTGAGCCGTTCCGATATGGGACAAGGGAACGTCACTCCGCATATAAGATCGGCCCCGTTTTGAGTCTTCTGCCCAGGACATCTCCGCCTAGATGTCCACCAACAGCTCACCACATTCGACAATTTCTTGGCTCATGCCGGCCAAGAGAACCCATCTCGCCTGTCTCAGCTGCCGCAGACGAAAGATCAAGGTGAGCCAATTTAACGGGGTCCGGGATCCCTTTTGATTGACAACTCGTCAGTGTATTTCAGCTGACGAAAACACGCCTTACGCGCGCTGCGCCGCAAGAAATCTTATGTGCGAATACATGGCTGTCTCTGCAGAACAGGCCCAGTCTGTCCCTCAAACTCAAAGGGGGCGAAATTCACCTCCGCGCTCAACACCGATTCCGAGGCCGTACACGCCCCAGCCCCCTCAAAGATACATATCATCGACGAGGGCGAGCGCACCAAGTTATGCGCCCACCTATTCCCAAGAATATAACCCATCGCAGTTTGGCAGCCCGACACCGATATACCACGGAAACCGTCCTCCACCACAACCACAGCTTCCTGTGAGTGGGTCGAGGGATCTATACAATTATGGGGCCAGCAGCTCGACGTCGATTTACCACGAAAACCGCCCCGCACCTCATCCACAGTTTCCTGCCGGGTCCAGCGATACATACCAATACGGCGGGGTGTATGCGGCCAGTAGCTCGTACGAGGGAAACCAGCCTCCACTTCCACTCTCACCCCCACCGCAGTTTACTGCCAGCCACAGCGAAAGGCGGGGTGGTCGATCGCACACCCCCCATGGCCCTTCGCATGCGACCTCGCGATTTCTAAGCCAGCAACCTGGTTCATCAGGCTATCCTTCGGATTATGATCGGTACTTCGCCGGCTTCGACCTCCCTCCATCGTACGACCCAGACATACATCCTGGCCGACTTCCATAATTCCAATTTTTGCCTCCGCGCACATCCCCGTTGCGTAACAAGGTTGACCGTGCTCGCCTGGAGTATTATGCGATTGTGGCAGGACTGAATCATAATTCAAATAATGAGGTTCACGGATACTTATAATTACATAGCTCTGTTTAAGAGCAGTAGTCTTATGGGTTCCATGTACAACATCCCCCCCAGTTGGGCGTATGGGGAGTTGGTGGGCGTCTCGGGCATCTCGGGTACCTCGGCGGTGAGCGTCAACGGGTGGACATATCGCGTCAAGGGGCATCCCACAACTCATAAATTCCCTGGGGCTCGAAACCGAGTCCAACGGGATCGTCTGCCCGATATATAATGCCTCAGGACAACCAAATCATTTATTGAGGACACGGACTCACCTCCCCCGCTATCGGGCTGATATCGAGTGGGGAGTGTACCTCGCTAGATGCGGCGTCTTGCGCTCGTCCCGGGATACGGAATGCTAAGTGTTGAGAACTGCGGGCAAAATACATGCACTTTTATCATTCATTGATTTTATATATGAACTTGCAAAGGTGACGAGGGATCCGAACAACAGGAAATGCTCATGTGATGCGGACGTGGACCGTCCGCCATCCAGCCGATACTAAGTAGGAGCGGTCCTTCAGTATGGCCAAATATTTTTCGTCCCTGGTCAAATTGAAGTGAGGACGAGCCCATGAACTCACAAGGAGTAATCGCGAGCCTGTAAATCTCGAGGCGCTGAAACAATGCCAAAGCTATCGACGATGGTGAATAAACGAAGAGAGGGCGAGCAAAATAACTATCGTATGTGGCTCGACCCCGAGTCGAACAGGGATCTCCTACAGTGAGACCAATGGCCATCGCTATTTGGTACAGACGCGGGCCCGCGATATCCAGTGGACGCCACCTCGCTCGGTTCGTCGATGTGGTTTCGGCTCGCTGCTGTTGAGGCAAGTCAAACCGTTGAGCACAAATTGGTGTACATATACGTGAGTCTTTCTAAACAGCGGGATGAGCATGAAAATGTGTTGGAAAGATAAGAGAGGTGAAAGACGAAGGGGGAAAAATAATAATAACATAGGCACAGCGAATGGCTCGATCCCCAGTCGAACGGAGATCTTCTGCAGAAGAACCAGGTCATACATACTTATCTAGTGCAGAGGCGGACCGTCCGTCATCGAGATGTTCTAAGTAGAGGTGGGTATCTCCCTAGGCTCATCGTCCCGGTCGCGGGTCGGCGTTGGGTGAAATAAATTGAGCGTAGGACAAATGGGTTGAGCACTGGAGGGGGCTGTTCCGTAAGTAAATGCAGAAGAATCAGGTGTAGCTGCCAGAAAGAGAGATCAGAATAAGAAAAGTCGACAGAGACGACAATATGGCTCGACCCCGAGTCGAACAGGGATTTTCTGCAGCAGATTTCGTAAAGGCAAAAACCTCCATACAAGTGCAGAGGTGGACCGTTCGCTATCGAGCCGTTCTAAGTCCTGCGGTGTACCCCGTTAGGTCCGTCGAACGTGAAATCAGTTGCATGAGCCTGCCATGCGCAGAGGGAGCGGGATTGACGTGCGGAGGAAGGCGGGGTAAGAATCGAAGTACAGGGGGAAAATCAGCATCTCCAACGAATATGGCTCGACCCCGAGTCGCGCACGGAGCATGGGGGCAGGACGGAGGTGGGCGGTCAGCGGCATATTAACGAAGAGGTAATATATTGACGCCGCAGCTTTCTAAACCTCTATCACCTTCATCTGCATCTCTGCAGCACTCCTTCACGGAGCTCAACATCAGACGCCGCGGCAGAGGAATAGGCGGACGCACCCTCCTCCGTCTCTGTTCAGTTCTCGGAGAAGTGCATCAGGGTGCAGCGAAGTTAAGTTCCATAGCGATGAGACTGGAAAAGGAGAGGGAGGAGGGGGACGGCTTACTGGACTGTGGGTACGAGGGAGTGCGATAGCGATGACGGAGGGGGGCCGCGGGCACACGGGCTCGGAGTGAAGAAGAACGCACATCCTCGGATCCTCCTCCTCCTCCTTGGGCTCCTCGATGGTGTGCTCAGCAGAGACCTCGGGCGCGGCGGGCTTCTCCTCGGCGGCGTCGGCGTGCGTGGCGGACAAGAGCGACGAGATGAACGAGCCGAGTCCCGACATAGTCAGCTGCGCGGCGAGTCTTCTGCTGGACGTTGACAGCCGATGTGGCCCCTACGGAGGAGTGAAGAGGGGAGGAAGGGAAGGAATACGCACTCCGCGTTGAAAACGTCCTCCATGATGCGCCGCGTGCGCCCGGCTAATGAGTGCGTGGGGCAATTCCGTTGATACTCGCGTCGGGGCGCTGTGGCCTGTGTATGACATAGCAAGATGGTGGGGCGATAAGAGCGGCGACGGAGGAGGGAGGTAGAGGCGCGACAGGAAGGAAGGGCGTGTGGGACAGGACTCGAGGAGGGACGAGATATGCTACCTCGAGGATCGAAGGGAGCTCGCGGAAGGCGAGAATGGCTAGGAAGCAAATCCACGGAAGAGACGTACGGTTCGCGCTCGTACTCGCGGACGACTCCGATATCTTGACCGTACTAACTTCACCACCAGTGATTTGGCTAGCGCGCATTGGGCGAGACTTTGAAAATCCAACGCAGAACAACAGACGTGAGACAATGTCAGAATTGGGAAAGACAGCGAAAAACGTACAAACTCGGAGGACTCACAGCTCCCCACCGAATCGCCACCCGCTGTGGTTTATATCGCCAGATTTTGGCCAGATTCAATTCCACACGGTGGATCTCTTGATTCTTGCGCCGGAGCCATGTCTCACCCAGCGGCGTCTTTGAGAGGAAGTTCAGTTGTGAGCGTCGTCGTTGCGGGAAATTCAAGAGAGGCGGTGCTGGCTGTGCACGGGAATCACCGACATTATTATGTTTGGCTCGGGTCCGACGCGGGCCGGGAATTTCTTTTTCACCAGTCTCAAGCACATACTTAAGATTGGGCCGAAATACTCACCACGCACGCGCTGCTCTGAAAACTTCGAGTTTTCTCCTGTCTGAGTCTCGACGTGCCCAATAGATTTCCATCATGACGGCCTGTTTGGACTCCCTGCGGATTCAAGCTACCAATTGGAATGTATCGCCCAAGATTGTCTCGGATCTACTTTTAACCCTAAAGGAGCTCCGTAGTACCAATGAACTGATATCGTCGGGCCCGGGCTCGAGCTCGAGTCCGCGTCAAGCTGTGCTCGGCCAAACCGGCCCAAGTAACACCTAAATTAGAACCAAAAAATCAAGCTCGCTCGTCAATTAAAGTATAGAGGAACGACACCCTTACCAACAATCAATTCATCCATAGTTGAAAGTGCTGTGCAAGAACAACAGAGCAGACAATAGCGAGAATTATAAGATCGGCCCCGTCGTGAGTCTTCTGCCCAAAACATGTCCGCCTACATGTGCGCCAACAGCCCACCAGATTCGACAATGCCATGGCTCATGCCGGCCAAGAGAATCCATCTCGCCTGTCTCAACTGCCGCAGACGAAAGATCAAGGTGGGCCAATTTAACGGGGCCCGGGATCCATTGTGATTGACAACTCGTCAGTGTTTTTCAGCCGACGAAACCAAGCCTTGTGCGCGCTGCGCCGCAAAGAGCCTGGTTTGCGAATACATGGCTGTCTCTGAAGAACAGGCCAAGTCTCTCCCCAACTCAAGGGCGACGAGGATCTGCCTGGGATGCCCCTCCGCGCTCAACGCCGAATCCGAGGCCGTACACGCCCCAATACCCTCAAAGATGCATAGCATCGACGAGGGCGAGCGTACCAAGTTATGTGTCCACCTATTACGAAGAATATAACCCATCGCAGTTTGGTAGCCCGACACCGATAGACCACGGAAACCGTCTTCCACGACAGCCACAGCTTCCTGCGAGTGGGTCGAGGGATCTATACAACTACGAGGGAAAACAGCCTCCACTTCCACTCTCACCTCCACCACAATTCGCTGCCAGCCACGGCGAAAGGCGGGGTGGGCGATCTCACACTGCCCATGGCCCTTCGCATGCGAGCTCGGGATTTCCAAGCCAGCAACCCGGTCCCTCGGATTATGACCGATACTTCGCCAACTTCGGCCTCCCTCCATCGTACGACCCAGAAATATATCCTGTGCGAGTGATGTGCTGGATTGTGGGTTTGGGGATGCCACTCGACACGATACATCCCAAGATTCAACCTCACCGCTGAGGTACCCGAGATCCCCGAGATCCCCGAGACGCCCGACAGCTTCCCGTACGCCAAACTGAGGATCGCGGAGCGCATGTTGTACACGGAAACCCATAACACTACCGCCCTTAACCAGAGCTATGTATTATAAGTGTCCCTGGATATCTCTGGACTGTTGAAATAATCCCAGCAAGGCTATGGGGTGGCAAGCACAAGAGAGAGAACCAGCAAACAAAGAGGTAGAATATGTTTGTCCTACATGTACATGGTGGTCGTACGTAGGCAAACGGATGGCGTCCACAGATACAAAGTGATAGAATATCATGGAAGGCTTACGTAAATTGGTCCGTGCCATCCGACGATGATCACGAGCTCCGTGCTGCTCGCAACCAATTCCGGTCCAGCCCGGAATATTTCCAACATGGACCTCGTTACTTGAGTGATGATTTATTTAGTTCAACCACAATTGCATAAGACTCCGGGCGAGTGCAGTCAGCTCCTGTTACATTTAAATCGAGGGACTCGCCCAGGATATGTGTCTGGGTCGTACAAGGGATGAATGCCGAGATTGGTGGAGCAGAAAAAAGCTATAGCTCGGTGGGTGTCACGCTTCGATGCCAATCTTCATGTGACAACACCGAATCTAAGCGCCGAGACATAAGCACCAGAGATAAGAAGGGATCACGAGGACATCGGAACAGACAATGACGACAGGGGTATTTATAGATGAAACGCAGACGAAACCCGGGAGACAATAGGCTATGTTGCTACGGGACGTTTGAACACAGGATACCAGGAGACTTTCATAAGTTATGACAGGCACAGCCCGACACACGACTACGGGCTATTGTACAGTATAATTATATCGTAGTTCACACGGTTCACAGAACAGTATTTAAGTAGTGTAGCATGCACTCGTATTCTTTAGTCTTTTATTCGATCATCTTTTCGAGACAACCACTCGCATTCCCCAATATGCTCTCTTGTAGAGTTGGAGGCGAAGTCTTGACTGTGACAGTGGGACCTATGTGTTATCAAGACTATGCCTTATTACAGCCGATTGCAGTACCGAAGGCGCAAATCAAACTTTCCTGTGCTCGGACATTTTCAAAGAATTCCCGATATCTCAGCCAGTTCTTCACCGATTCACTTGAAAATCAGATAGATTTACTCAGCTAATTCACTCGGAATTAGTGATATACAGGAATGTGTGAAAGTATCATGTATTACCCATTTTCCGATTCTGGGTTGTTTTAGGACCGAAAGCAGTCTAACATGCCGAGAGCATGTCCCAGCAGTGTAAAATTTTGGTTTGGATAGCAGATTCAACTTTAGAAACATCTGATAGAGCCAGAGGCATGGATAAATCACTTTCAGTCCCTCCAGATCCCGTGGACACATTTGCCAGTTTTGGCATCAAGACATATTGTAAAGATTACATTTATCCATACATTTCATAGATTTCTGGCTCTATCACACTGTTTCTCAGTTGAATATGGTGCCCAAACCAAATATTACGCTGCTGGGACATGCTCTCAGCATGCTAGATGGTGTTCGGTCCGAAAACAGCCTGTAATCCGAAAATGGATAATACATGATATTTCCACACATTCCTTTCTATCACGAATTGCGGGTGAATTATTCGAGTAGATCTATTCAATTTTCAAGTGAATCCATGAAGAACTGGCTGAGATATCGGGAATTCTTTGAAAATGTCCCGAAACAGGAAATTTTGATTCGCGCCTTCGGTACTGCAATCGGCTGTAAGAATTCTGGGGTAAGCCGATATCAAGTGGGGACGGTCCCCCGCTGGGTTCGTCAGGTAAGTGTGGTTAAATGCTGGAGAGATGAACCGAGTGCTCCGAGCGAAATTAGTTGAACGCAAGACAGGTAGCGCAGAAGGATCAAACAACGAGGCGGAAAAAATCAAACACAGAGACGTTAGGTCTGTCGGCGTGAGTCCCTATCTAAGCTTCGAAATGATCCCCCACCTCATCAAGTATGATGAATGAGACGAAGAGGATCGGGGAAAGGAAAAGGATCCAGGTCAAACAAGGCTCGACCCCGAGTTGAACGGGGAGCTTCCACAGCACTTTGCGTTCAACTCATGTAGTGCAGACGTGGAACCTCCGCTATCGAACTGTTCTGAGTCCTGAGAAGTACCCCACTAGGTTCGTCGTCCACGGTGGTTGCGGTTCCGGCGCTGGGGTGATAAATCGAGCGCTTGAGGACAGAAGTTGGGCGCTCGAGGACGGGGGTTGTTCCGTGAGCAAGCACTTGCCACTAGTGCGAGGTAGGTAGGTGTTATTACACGAGGAATCGATTTTCAGTCGGAGGAATCAGAATAAAAAAAGATAATGCGCTTCAGGATTCCTATGGCTCGATCCCGAGTCAAACGGGGCTCTTCTGCAGTACCTGTCAACTTGACCAGCAGACGCGGACCGTCCATCATCGAACCGTTCTGAGTCCTGCGATGTACCTCCTTACCAGGTTGCAGACAAGTCGAAAGCGAAAGAATTGAGTTGCGGAGGGAAAGAGGGGTCGGGATAAAAATGTAGGAGAAAGATGGCGTACCTACAGACATTATGGCTCGACCCTAAGAAGTGTATCAGCTTTGAGCTCATGAGGCGAAGTGATCGAGCAAAAATGCAAGAAGAAAAACCGTGCTGAAACCGTGGCATGGCTCGACCCGAGTCGAACGGGAACCCGTTGCTGCGAATTGGCACAGACTATCTCCTGTCATTCGATGCAGGCACAGACCCTCCACCACCGATTCGGTGGCCACTGGGGATTGTACCTCACTAAATTAATCGCGGTGGTTGCGGTTCGGGGCTGGAAAGATAAATCAAACACTCGAACGAGGCCCATGGCCTGTCCAGGCGGAAGGATGAGAAAGAAAACGGTGACGTGGGCACAGCGGATGGCTCAACCCCGAGTCGAACGGGCGTCCTGCCGCGAATTTTTGTGACAATGCTAGCGTACGCAGGCGCAGGCGCGAACCCTCCGCTATCGGGATGTTCCGAGTCCTGAGGTGTACCTCGTGAGATCCTTCGTATCGCGGGCATGCTGGACATGACGTACCAAAGATTGCCTGAATGATGGACGTCGGGCTTGTTCCGTGAAGAAGTATTGTTGCGAGGAATTGATTGCCCGCCGGAGGAACTAGAATCAAAAGAGAGACTTGTTTTACGATCATGGCTCGACCCCGAGTCGAACGGGGATCCTCTGCCGACACGCCATTGGAGCATATATGGTGCAGACGCGGACCGTCCGCCATCGAGCCGATATCCAGTGGGGAGCATATCTCGCTAGGTTCGTCGTCTTGGTTGCGCTGCAGACCATCAATCATCAGCCATATTCGATGTACCCTCCACTATCGAGCCGGTGGGTCGGGGGGACAGGGCTTCGATGTCCGAGGACGGCGGGCGTCGGGCGTCAATAGTAGGGCTAAGGACAAATCCACACTCACACTTGGACCCGATTTATGTATGTATGATAGCGCGGTTCTCTGCGTGAGTCAGCAACTTAAAAGAAGACGGGCGAGGCGTCTCATCTGTGGCGGCGTGGTGGGAGGTGAGCGGACGTTCGGCGTGCGCAGTGTCAGCGTGGGCAGGGCGATGTCGGTGCTGCTCAGCACATCCCTGCAGAGAATACCCAATATCGGGAAGGATACCGGAGGGAGGGGATTGGGATCGAGCAAGCCAACACGGCAGAGGCGTGACGTCCGCCTGCGTCCGGCGCGCAGTACGAAGAGAGCAGCACAGGAGTCGGACATGTAACAGAGAGCGGCGTATTAGATGAATAAACGATAGATTGCACGCCACAGCTTTTCTATACGTCTACCACCTGCATCTGCGCAGCACTCCTTCGCGTAGCGTCAGCGTTAGGCGCGCGGACGAATAATAAACGGACACACCTTTTCTGATCTGCGGTCATGGGGAGGAGACCTGGGTGAAGAGCTGCGGCGCGGCGCAGGCCTCGGAGCAGTGTATCAGGCTGCAGATAAGTTGGCTTAGCGATGAGGACGGGACAGCGCAGGGTGAGCGGCGTACTGGACTGTGGGCAAGTCAGAAGAACGAAGGGAGAGCGGGGCAGTCAGCGAGTGCAAACGCAGGTGATCATGGGTAGGGCTTACACCTGCGTCGAAAAGTAAGAGTAGAACGAAAGCGGGGGAGCAGGGTGGGGGTATGCACAGTTTCTCGACACACTCCTCGCCGGCCTGCACCTTCGCCTGGAACTTCTCAAAGTGGTGCTTCATCGGCGCGCACTCGCACTCTACGCGTATCGCCGGGTGCGCGTATCGCATACATCCTCGTCAGTGCACACTCTCGCTCTCGCTCTCGCTCTCGTGGTGAGGGGAACGCACATTCGGGCTCCTCCTCCTCCTCCTCCGCCTCGTCCTCCTTCGGCTCCTCGCTGGCACGTCGGGCGCGGCAGGGGCGGGCTTCTCCTCGACGCGGCTTGCGTGGTGGGGAAGAGCAACGAGATGAACGAGGCGATTCCCGACCTTTGGTCAGGCTGCACGGCGAGTCTTCTGATGGACGACGACAGCCGATGGGGCACCTACGGAGGACGTCAGCAGGCGGGTTGATGAGTGCAAAGGGGAGGAAGGAAGGGATACGCACTTTCCATCTCTTATGGCTCGAGCTCCTGCTCATATCTCCCACGTCTGACCAGCGCCCCGTAGCCCACGCCGAAGACGTCCTCCAGGATGCGCCGCGTGCGCCCGTTTAATGATTGCGTGGGGCGATGTCGTTGATACTCGCGTCGGGGCGCTGTGGCCTGCGGAGGGCATGGAAGGCTGGTGGAGCGATCAGAGCGGTGACGGAGGTGGGAGTTGAATGCGCGGAAAGAAGGAAGGGCGCGTGGGACAGGACTCGAGGAGGGCGAGGTATGCTACCTCGAGGATCGAAGGGAGCTCGCAGGTTAGGAAGTAAAGTCTAGATATAACTTGACCGGTTGATCAGTGATTCGGTTAGCGCACATTGGCCGAGACTTTGAATCTCCAACGCAGAATAACGGACCTGCGACAACGTCAGAATTGTGCAAGACAGTGAACAACGTACCGTTACGTACGGAGAACATTCAATTCTACACGGCGGATGTCATGAAACAGTCCCGCCCAAACCTCACCTCCGACGAGCCCACGCTCTCCGCACCGAAGTGGAAACAGGTGCTGACGCACGTCGCACGCCTTCCCGACGTATCGGTGCCAAGCACACCTCACGTGCGACCCAGATAGCGCTATTGATCACGAGACGAGCAAAGCTTCGCAACGTGATTAGCGCAGCCACGTGATGTCGAAGCGGATGGTCACGAGCCTAGTGGGGATGTACTGGTTGCTCGTGAACCCCAGTGAGAATGGCGTCGAGTCGGAGCGAGCGAGAAAGAGCCAGAACGAGCGGCCCGTTCTCGCTCGCTAATTTCAAGCATGTCTCGATTTCACTCGTTCAATTATGATGTGATATCGAGAGCTATCGAGGGATATCGAGTCGCATCAAGAGTATATGTACTTGACAGATGCCTTTTATTTCACTCAGTATTCTGGCTGCTTCGAGGGAGAAAGAGACACATATATTCAAAAATATCTCAAATGCGGTCGAGGTACCCATGCACCCCCACCCGCTCCAGCCCAAGTCCCACCCAACCTCCGCTGACGAGGAGGGCCTATACTACCCAGAACATAATTTCAGGTATGCTAGAGGCCTTGGGATGAGCTAGAAATTGATTGAAGTTTGATTGAAGCACCCAGAAAGAGCTTGCATGTGGACATCTTGAATTTGGTTCGTCCGGGCTCGATAGGCTTGATCTTGCATGATAAAGAAGGCCACATCTTGCAAAAAAAAAGAGCCTTGGGCTTGAGGAAACACACCCAAAGACCAGAGTTTTCCAATTTCCGATGAAATATTGACGGTGCGAGCAACTGAAACTTTGAAACGAGTACAAGACCAGAAGGAGCCAGACGGGTAACAGGGACCGTATTTTTGATGTTGTGATGACCCAGAAAGGATGCCTGTTGTGGGTGGGAAGAACTGGCCTACAGTTTGTAAGAGGGACATGGGAGGGAGAAAGAGAGGACGATGATCAACCAAATCGCAAGCGGGCACGTGCCAAAACATTTGAGCAATTTCGACGTCGCCTGTACCGCAAAATTTGATGCAAATTTGAGGTGGGGCAAAGGGCAGGCAGCGTCAAAAAAAAAAGATCTCCGCTCGTACGATACTAGCGATGTAATTATGAAAAATATGATGGGGCTTGCGTTCGCTCGAAGCCACTCGAGGGAAATTGATGAGAGTTGATTAGCGTGTTGATGCTTCGCTCTACTTCGTTCTGCCTCGCTCCGACTCGACGCCATTCTCACTGGGCGTGAACCCGCCTGGGCTCGTGACCAACCGCTTCGCAATCACGTGGCTGCGCTATCTCACGTGGCTGCGCTATCACATTGAGAAGCGGCTGGGATCTTTGGTCGCCGTTTTCGGTGGGCCCGGCAAATCGGAGGCGACACTTATAATTTGAGAGCATCAAACTTTGAAAAAAGTGTCAAAAGCGCATTAGGGAAAGTGCAATCTTTTCCTATTCTAAGTTGAATGAGCCCCATTTGTTTTTTTGGACTTGGGTGAGAAGTGCCGTCGTGGTCTGCGCACGGACCAGTTGGCGATGTCTAGCGATGTTCACCAAATCTGAAAATGAATGTTGGGCTTATTCCCTTGAAATCGAAAAATATTCATGTTTCTGGCTCATAACTTTACACTTTTTTGACGTTCGGAGGCCAACAATCGTAAGTCCCGACTCACATTTGGCGGGTCCACCCAAAATGATAACCAAATGTACCAGTAGTTCTAGGAAGCTTTTTGAACCCTCTGCTCGTCTCGTGATCACTGGCAAAGGCGCTGACTAAGAACGACTGGTCGCGAGTCTACATCCCCACGCGCATTGCCAAGCTCATTTTGCGGTCCTTCGGCGATCTGTGGGAACTCCGCATTGACGAGCCCGGAGGGCATTTCGAGGAAGTCGGCGTTGAGGAGGAGGCGCGAAGCGCGCGAGCTGGGCCTTGGCAGCGATGCTTCTCGTGCGCTGCGGCGGGGCCGTGGAAGAAATGTGCAGGTGCGTTGGGCTGCGTAGGTTTGGGATGTGTAACTTGATTGATCTCATTTTATTCCAGGGACGTGTAACGGGCGGGTGTTCTTCTGCGGCGGGCCATGTCTCAAGGAGGATAGAAGGAACACAAGGCGTTACATAAATGCGGGGAGACGTAAAATGTGCTCTAACTAAATTTTGAAAAACATTGACCTTCAGAACCCCTCGCTGCAATGACTGAACAAGAAAACGGTATCGCCTTTTCGAGGATGTCGAATACAAAGATCCTTCCAACTTCTCGAGGCCTATTCTTGCGTCACTCTATGTGTTCGGATTCTTTTTTTCGTGAGTCATTTTCTCTGAATTTTGCCATAAATTGATAAATGGTCTGCAGAATAATAAATATGTGCACAAGCTTGGCCGAATCTCCGCAAGGAACGCGCTATTTAAGCTCTTCTCTTATCTCATCACTGAATCGGATGTACCACACCCGGGAATTCCGCGCCTCTTCCAATGAGCGGTGCCCCGTCCCGCGGAACACGACACAAAGAATCTGCTCGCCGTCCCAGGATAGTACCCATGGCGCAGCCAAATATGACTTTTGGCCCTCGAAGCCTCCGAGCAGGTCGTCCGCTTGAATCAGATATTTTATCTGGACATTGATTATCTTCGGGGGCCGGCCAACCTCGGTGAAGCGCATAAATCGCAGAAGGGGCACATCCGGAAATGCTGAAGTGCGGTCGAGATCGAGCGCTGGGAACATAAGTGTCTTGTGCGCGACAGTCGGTGCAAGACCTTGGTCGGTGTGTATGACGAAAGGTGTGTCCGGTGTCTGTCCATCCATTTCCAGGTGGCTGTAGCATGCGAGAGCGGTGCCTTCGCCCTCCGACATTGATGCGCAGGTGGAAACAGCGTCAACCAGTTTCTTAAAATCCACAACGGTCACGTATGAGTTCCCGCTAATTCTATTCAGAGAGCGGTCCTTTAGAAAAGAGGACACGCACGTGTTTTGGATACAGATGGTGAGGAATTGAGGGTCAGAAGACCTTCGTTCAGTTGTCAAGGATGCCTGGGTTGGTTCTGTTCCCACAGTCAACAAAAACACAGTTGATGTCAACAGTGTTGTAGCCGCCACAGCAGGTCCAGTCCCGGGAGCCACCGAAGGGATTTCGAAAACCTCGATATGGAACTCGAGCTCACCGCCGA